CCTTATCGGCAAAAAAACCAATTCAGGTGGTTCTTGACGGCCTCTTTGCCTGTGAAACTTCATACAGTTCTGCAACGACCGGAATAGGTGATAATCGGTAGGGGCCAGGTCTGGTAAATACGTAAGATGAGGCAAAACATCCCAGCTAAGACTAAGCAATTTGTTCCGGGTAATCAATGGCGTATGTGGTCTAGCGTTGTCGTGGTAGAAGACAACACCCTTGCTATTTGCCAATTCTGGACGCTTTGTGCGGATTGACTTGATTCAATTTCGTTAACTGCGAGCAATATATGGTTGAATTAATCGTTTGACAAGATGGTAATAGCTCGTAGTAAATGAATCCGTAAAATTCCACCATACGTGCTTCTATGATCTCTTACGCACTACATTATTGTAAACGATCCATTTTTCATCGCCTGTTACCATCCGCTTAAAGAAACGGGTCGGTTTCTTGACGCTTCCGCAGCAAATCGCAAATGGATATACGAGTAGCCAAATTAGCCTCGGTTAAGTCATGAGACACTCAAACATTACGCCTAGAAATGTATCCCAACTGACGCAAATTTTCATCGACGATGGCCTTGACATTACTTGAATCAATTTCGATCGAACGACCAGAGCGGGGTGTATCATTGTCGAATAATGTCGATATCTCCAGAACGGCAAACCGCTTTTCGCACACGCGTTCTGTTAAGGTATCATCTCCATATACGCGGCATATCTTTTAATGAGCCACCGCAGCTCGTTTACCTTGTTTGAAATAAAACAGCAAAATATAACAATAATGCATCCCACACAGCACGCATGTCTAAAAGACATCTTAAAGACTTTTAGATATGTATGTCTAAAAGACGACTCAAAGAATTTCCTTCCATTTTCACGCAGTATACAATATTGAAGTTTTACTAAACAAAAATTCACAGAAAATTTGCAAAAAGATTACGTAAAATAAATGCGCATTCGAGTTGTGCGCAGTGAACTCTATACATATGTATAGAAGAGTTCACCGGTTGTGGAATAGCCCTGAGACAGACAAGAGTGAATCAGAATGAAGTTGCACTGCATCGAAAACCGAACGAACTTATATGTCAACCTAATAATTTAAATTGTAATTATTATCTATTCTTTATCTTTGTTATCTATTATCTGTCATTTTTACGGTTTAACATTTATCCCTTTTTATTTGCTACTTGTGTGAACAATTATTTTATTATTCTGTCTTCTTTACTTCCATACTTTTTCTCTTTAGAGATTTTTATTATAAATGTTATACTCTTTTCGCGCGTACTGAAAATACACACTATTTTCTAAGTACGTACAGCTAGTTTACCGTCGTCATATATGTGTAGTATATCGTACTAACATCGCAATAAAGATTGCCAGAGCACCGTTCCGGTTTCTACTTAAATTTCACTCGCATAATAATAATTGCGAAAAGAGCATGAAGCGTTACATTTTTGTTCCGCTAACAATTAACTAATTAAATATTTGTATTGTAAATTTTTTTCCATCGAATATAAATTCTAATCTAAGTAAAATCTAGCTTTCTTTAACAATCAAAATGGGATTAGAAAATTGCTAAAATAAGATTAATTTTGAATAAAATTTTCTGTTATTAAAATGAAGAAATAAAATACACTGAATAAACTTGTTATTACATGTTGTTTTTTTGGGACACTTAAGAGATTACTGTGAGGTAATGACTAATAATTTGTAATAATTTGTAATAAAGAATTATTATAAATCATTTCTCTCCTATCTTTTGTATCTTTGGGTACACATACTCGTAAATAAGATAAAGGGAAATTTATTTATACATACTATATGTTATATCGACTTTTAATAAAACAATTGAAATCGAAGAATTACACACACACACACACACACACACACACACACACACACACACACACACAACATTATAATATCATGATAGAGTATTTTTTATTGCAAGTAACTAGTTTAATGGCATTTATTTTATTTATAATATTATGTTATTCACTATTTTCTTTATACATTACAACAAAAAAAAGATCTTTGATACAAGCAAAAACGTTCTTTCTGAGGATCACTTCCGTCGAGATAGACCGGTTCCGGACCGGTTCCGCTTACCTTGAACTAAATATAGGACGATATTCGCTGTACAAAAGGAATCAGGAAAATAAATTGCAATCGCGATTCTGCATTCCAGTCAACATTTTCTGCAGCTAAACACTGCTATTAAACGTCTCGACAGAGACAATGTTTCTGAGGAAATATTATCTGAAGAAATATCTCCTTAAGTACAGAAATATTACTTATCTTTCTTATTAGCCAAGAGTTTTGAAAAGTTATGTAGGTGTCAGACACGTAATACATCTGGATGTCACTTCGGGTATTTCCACAATCTTGGGACTTGTTTAAACGTCATTGGAGAAGCGCAAAGTTTGTCCCCTCTACCACGAGACTGTTTTGCTCAAAACGGATGATTGCACAAGCAGGTGTTTGATTGTCCGCGGGGTCTCGCTGGCCCAACCGCAGAGCCAGTTCTCGCTGAGCCTCGTCGCGGTCAGGCGGCCACTCTTACTCTCGAACGGCCTCTCGGTTTCCTGGTTGCACTCTCGGTTTCAATCTTCTGTTGGTTTCTGCGCGAGATAAGTACGCAAAACGCGGTCTTGCAATCGTGATTGGTACATAGTGTCTTCACCGCAGTTCTAGCGTGTCTTAAGATTACTTCAAATTAGTAGTCCTTTACAAGTCAAGGATTAAAATTCTTAACTTTGAGAAATTCTCTAATGCACTCACAATATCGTGTCTTTGCTGAAAGTAATATTCCAATGGAAAATCTAACACAATTTATATATAAAATTTTACAGTTTCTAAATTATAAATCGATAAAATTTCTAGTTGTTTTAAGCAATGCAGTGTGTGAAAAATTCAACCTCAATGTAATTTTGTATAAAAGCTTTCTTAAATGTGATTAAATAAAAGTTTCGAAATCTTACATTGATACGTTTGTTTGATATTTTGTCTATTTAATATTAGTTCAAAATTGAATTTATAATATTGCTTAAAAATGTTATAAATGGATATTAAAATAAAGTAAAATTTTGTGTAAGGCTGTTCTTAGGTTTTCGTTGCGGTATTATTTTAGTTTTGATATTGTGAGAATCTTTTAAAGGTAAAAGTTTCAAAGTTTGAGTTTTGACGTCCGTGAACTCTTGAAATATTATTTAAATCAGTAAATTAAAAGATTATAAATACTGTACAATTTCTTTAAATGGCAATCTTTACTCTATCTCTTAGCACTGTTATTTTGTAATGTAATTTCCTCGAAATAGTAGATCTTGATATTTATTATTGAGCATTTCCATTAATTCTGCATTATAAAATCTTTTAGCGGCTAAGAAATCAAGAAACCTCATTCAACTAAAGAACTTGGATTTTGACCTTTGAATAGTAACGTCCGGGACTCCGTTTTTATTAAAAATTTATTTAAAAACAGAAATAAGTTATATTTAAAACATTTTTTTTATTCAAATTTTGCTAAAGTGAAGAATCTTATGTTCAGTCTTTAATATTTTGTATAAAAAGTAAACTTTTTCTAAAAGGTAAATTTATTAAACCGATTTGTGTTTATTTTATGCCTTGATGAATTTTTTGCATATATTTATCTAATTTAATATGCAGAGAGAAAGAGGTGAGAAAAGTTGTTTCTTCTTTTTCACGGTTATTTTTAAACTAAATTATTTGCTTGCAATACTAAATTTGTAGATATGTTAATGCGGAATTGATATAAACTCTAAATTAAAATCTCAAAGGATTTTACTACCTCGCAATTGTACGAGATAAAAAATTTATTTTCTAAATTTAAAACTTTTGTCCTTAGATCTTCTAAAGTTAAAACTTTATTTTTATTCTTTTTCTGTAGCTATTCAAAAATTTTGCTACACTTTATCTACGATTTGAAGTAATACTTGTGGTCAGACGTGTGCATCAGGGATAAATTGTATAAATTGTGTATCTTCTAAGAAGAAGCGAGAACTCTTGAAGACATTACCATGATATTATATTGCGAACAACTAGTATTACAAATGAAGTTCTATCAATAATCACTTTGCACAATTATGTGATCAAGAGCTCTTAAAGTGCACTGGTTAATTTGAAGATAATTGCTGCTGGTTATGTAATAGTTCTGTGATAATTGAACAAGTAAAAAAATTGTTAAAACAGACTATAAACGAGATAGAAAAAGGACTTAAAATAATAAATGTTAAATAACATATATCCTTAAATTCAACAAAAAAATTAAAGTATTGCAAAAATATACATTCTAAAAGAATACGTTTATAATAACTTCTATAGATGATGTATAAAGAAAATTAATTCTAAAGAACTGTTAAGAACAGAAAGCATAAAAATACGTTTCTAAAAAATTCTCTTTAAAACTTGTTGAGAGAACATTGTAGAAGGACAGTATCTTGTAGAAGGACATGCTCGAATACAGTCGAACAAGTGCGAAGATATGAATAATATAAACAAGGAAATGACTTATTTAAGGAAGAATCACGCAGAAGTGCTCGCCAGTTAATCACGTCGATCGATCTCGGTCTCCAGGAAGATTTTGGAAAACGTAATAAGCGGCATCGTAATCAACATTTTCGTTATTAAAATTGTTCAGGTAATTAAATTTACCATTAAGTATTAATCTTAAGTATTAAACCATATTGAATTAGTAATATATCAACGTAACATAATGTATAGAGTAATATGAGTTGTAACAAATGTTATATAAAAGTATTAATGTTATTCAGAAGTAAGGTACTCCCATTGTAACTTCTTAATTATAAATTAACGTAAACTCATATTACATTTTTAGCGATTAAACGGTGTGGTACACACACAATATCTAAAAACCTTATTACACTTAAGTTAAAATAACTGGAGCCACTGCAAATAAGACGGCATTATTGAGATCTCTTTGATCTCCACGTAGTATAATTTTGATCTGCAAGTATAATGTTGTAGTGATGTAGCGTTTGCAGTTGATGATTGTGCTAGCGTTATTGGCTGGCGTTTTTTTCTTCCTGTAATGATATAAAGTCGACCGAATGGAAATTACCGACGTAACAAAAAGATTCTATAACGTCATTCCGCTCGCTGCGTCAAGTTCAGAGCAGAATATTATTTGTATTCTGCGTATGACAAAGAGTGGAATATTTGATTTATCTAAGGTATAACAGAATGAAAAATCTTATCAATTCTACACAAAATCATTAATAAAATTAAGTTAATTGTTAATTTAAATTGTTCAAAGTTTCTAATTTTCACATGAATAAATTTACATACACACGCTTGCATATAAAACGCAACTACGTTATGATTAGATATTACGAGTATTTAATTAATTATAATTTTAGTTAAGAACTTACAAGTTGAAGATTGTATTGCTAATAATATAAAATAAGAAGACTAGTTTAGAGAAAATTCCACATTTTGCAACAAGAGTACTGAATCCAAATTGATTCGGGCAAGGATGCCTTTGCGGCAATACTGACGAACTTGCTCGACAAATGTGGATTGCGTCCGACAACGACGTAAGCAAGTTCATCAGGAAGAAACCACGACGGGGAGAGTCGAAAGAAAGGAAAGCGATCGGACGTAACCTTAGGCAGTCTTTCTTCGCTGGTCTCCTCTTTCGTAATATACGTCTCTCTTTCTCGCGTAAAGAAATGTACAAATTACGTGAAAGCAGCGGCGTTGCGTAGCACGTAGCTTACTCATCGCTCACATTTTTCGGTTACATGTTTGATGTAATAACACGTCAACGCAAATTTTGTAACGGAGGTCACTTTCTTTTCAATTATGCATCGATGTAATATGACAACGCATATTTTATCACGCATCTTCAAATTAATCCTGAGCTAGTATTATAAGATCTCTTTGATCTTGTTAGATTTCCCATGTCTCGGTCGTTTGCAGTGGCTCCAATTATTTTCATTTCCGCGTAATAAGGTTCTTAGATATTGTACCATGCCGTTTAATCGCTAAAACTGTAATATGAGTTTACATTAATTTATAATTAAGAGGTCACAATAGAGTGCTTTTGACTCTATAATATGAAAAGTGTTGTTTGATCAAATGTGCAATTACTAGCAAAATAGATGAATATAATCTTAAAACAATTAAATTAAGATAGTGCCTTTGTAAGATCTTCATTATCGCACACAGTGCAAGAAATAAGAAAAATAACGACTGGACGAAGAAGCCGATTAAACAATCGATAACATGACCTAATTAATTAATGATATGAGGCAACAATTTCTCAATAAGTTGAGAGGTGCAACCTTGTGACTTACAAATATGAATAAGTCATCAAATTTGTAATTTCTTCCAAAATGCATAAGCAAACGCAAAAAATAGAATATTGTGGGTCTCCTTGAGAATCTTATGAAACAGAAAGAGGTGACCAGCGAACTTTTTAATTATTCCGACTTTCGAATTGTATTACGTTCTCGGTAGCGTTTAAAATTGCTGAGTTAGTTTGAACCATCAAATATTAAATATATACCAAATACGTTTATATTGATTTCAACAAAAATATTTGATGGTTTTTTAAATCAATATCTTGAGTAATTTTTTAGTTAAATAGCTCGAACAATAAATTCGTAAAAAAACTATGACGAATAATTTATCACATTGTTAAACTACATACAGTTAAATTGTTTATCATTCGATCGTGTACGGCATACGATCAGCGTATATCGGTGTCTCGTAAATTGTCAGTGTGATGTAACGTCGTAACAGACACTCTCACTTATCTGACCGGTCCTGCTGGAGCAAGAGACTCTGAACTCGCATGGACGGGCTTGCAGTCGATCGCATAGCGCCATTATAGTTATATATGTATAAGACAATTTTAAAGATGCAAATTTATATAGTTACTGCGCCGTGCCGAAGAAGAAAAGTCAGTTCTATTTTAATTTCGTGTTGATTACTAAAACTGCAAAAAAGAAGAAAACGAATGGATAAAGGACTCACCTGGAAACATACAGGGTGGTCCTGAAATAGTTGATCAACCTCAGGGATTGGATTGGGTTCGTCATAAGGTTGAAAAAAGTTCCCATAAACGTTATTCCTGCAAGCACGCATCCCGCAGGAGTTACGACTCATTTAATTATTAATACCTGATTCAAAAACATGGAAGGCTGTGAAAGGAAAAAAACTTCACTTTTAATTACAGAAGTTGTTAAAAATATCCACTGTTAACGAAAAACACGTGCGTTCATCTAACCATTGACTGCCTAACACGCTCAAAGATTCCTAGCGTATTTCGAGATTGCTGCGTTTTGAATTTTAAAGTATTGTTCCCGTGTCCGAACACAATAATATTGGATTTCAATTGTGACAACAGATCACTCGATTAAGCTACTTATTTTTGTTTTTATATTGATGATAATAATATTGAGAGCATTAATTAAAAGAGCACAAATCATAGTAAGTACGATCGAAACTTTAAATGTATTCATTCTTCGAGATTGATAATTAAATGAGTCGTAACTCCTAAAGGATACGATCTTTGGCGTTTATGGCAAGTTTTTTCATCCTTATGACGAGCCAAATCCAATCCCTCATTTTGACCAACTATTTCAGGACCACCCTGTATATGATCGTACCTCTCTTTCAAATATAGAGATGGAGAGTGCAAGCCCGCCGAATACGCTAATGGAGATGAAAACACGAAAACGGCCATTCCGTACGCAAGTATCAACCTTGGACACGAGAAGGAGACAAGCTGTTTGTGTAAGAAGGGCCTTCAAGAAATACGGATCCAAAAATAATCCTCAGGTCGTTTTGGATGGTCTCAACATGACTGTGCCGAAGGGTGCAATGTACGTATCTTCTGTCAATATTTTAATAATCAATCAATGGGGATAAGTAATTTATTATTAATAAATATTTCTTGCCTATATACTTTCTGTGCAATTTAAATTACATACAAAGGAAAATTCGAAATCTTTTAATAATTGGATAGTGCAAATTTAGTAACTAATACAAAAGAACAAAGAATTTAAAGATAACAAAGTTCTACACGAGAGAGAGAGAGAGAGAGAGAGAGAGAGAGAGAGAGATTTGTTAATATCATTACTAATTAAATAATTTATATCGATATAAAAACTGCTTTTTTCTTTCTAGTCTAGTGCGTTTTAATGAATGTTTTATTACGACAGTTACGGACTGCTTGGTGCGAGCGGTTGCGGAAAGACCACGCTACTGTCGTGCATCGTTGGTCGGAGACGCTTGAATTCCGGCGAAATATGGGTGTTGGGGGGCCGACCGGGTTCCAAGGGGTCCGGTGTGCCCGGTCCTCGGCTGGGCTACATGCCACAGGAGCTCTCGCTCTACGGCGAGTTTTCCATTCGGGAAACGTTTATCTTCTTCGGCTGGTGCGCCGGTATGACGACAGAACAAGTGGATGAGAAGCTAAATTTTCTGCTTAAGGTGAGAAATTTCGCGGAAAACTGAAAGTTCTCCGAAGAGAACTTTCAAGCTATTTGTTGCCTACCTTTCAATTCTCTCGATAACAGAGACAGGGAAGATTTATTTGTCCACAGCATTTGCTTCCTGTCGTATTTCATCGTAAATATCTTTGTTGCAGATCATACCAAGGCCTAGTAATATCTGTGTTCTCTGATTGCAGTTTTTACAACTACCGCCTGAAAATCGTTTGGTTAAGACTCTATCAGGTGGGCAGCAAAGGAGAGTATCCTTTGCGACTGCCATATTAGCTGAGCCTGAACTCTTGATTCTGGATGAGCCAACAGTTGGAGTGGACCCTGTTCTCCGTCAGAGTATCTGGGACCACATGTTGCACATCACAAAGGACGGTAACAAAACCATCATCATCACCACGCACTACATCGAGGAAACTAGGCGAGTTGCCAGCATAATTATCATATTTATTTTCGTTACATTCTAATATCATATATTTATTACATTTTATGATATTAGTACTTTATACATTCGATACTTTCACTTTAAGACTTTCACTTTACAACTAAATCTAAACCTTGTTTTATTGGTTGTACAGGAAGCGCTATGAATTGAATCAATCAATTTTACATTAATTAAAGTAAATTTCTTAAAATAAAAATTACCTTGATTCCTGCTTCGATGCAATTTAGCTGTGAAACATCTGATTATTAAAGTTACTCACTACTCGACTTTAATTGCCGTATACATATTATCACCCAAGTTATGTAATATGCAGAACGGTAACAGTCATCTTTATCAAGCAATTAGGAAAATTACTGAAAAGATGAATTGCCATTGTCCAGGCAAGCCAATATCATCGGTCTGATGAGAAACGGCAAGTTTCTGGCAGAGGAGTCGCCGTCGAGACTAATGGAGATACATCGATTGGACACTTTGGAAGAAGTCTTCTTAAAGCTGAGCAGGAAGCAGAATATGGGATTAAGAAGGAGAAGTAGCATTCTGAGCGGTATAACGGGCGTTTCGCCCGACGATGTGAGTATAGTTGCAAAAGGGTTTCGGCACGTCTTGAAAAAAAGATTATATTTTTACACGTGTGTGTACTTGATGTGTTCTTGATGTGTTCTTAATGCTTTCGCGTTATTAATATATCTTCCTCTTTATTTCGCAGGATACAGAGGAAATGAGCGGTGAATTCGGCGATAATGTGAGCATATCTAGTCGACGGAAAAGTGTAGCCATTGTGGATAATAGCAATGTAATAAATTTTTATATATGTATACACACAGCATTATTTTAATTATCTAGAATGACTTGTAAAGTGGCGCTTTAACGATCTGTTTTTTATTTTTAACCGCTTATCAACCTTTTTCTGATAGGTGCCGGAATTGCCGCCGGAAGAAGAAGGCGATTCTAAATACACTGTATGCAATCCGCTACACATGAAGGCTCTCTTGTGGAAGAACTTTTTGTGGATGTGGCGAAACGTTGGGTAATCCATTTAATCACGTTTCTGCAACAAAATTCCTTTTATCTCTTCATTTAACTTTATTTACTAACCTCAATCTTCACTTTGATTTTGTAGAATAATGCTGTTCATCATCGGTCTGCCGGTCGCCCAAATAATCCTCTTCTGTCTCTCTATTGGTAAGGATCCTGTAGGATTACGGTTAGCCATCTTCAACAACGAGCTCAACAGCAGCACGCAACCGTGTATTCCGAGAAACGGATGCGATTGGACGCTACTGAGCTGCCAATATCTTCAGCACCTGCAGAAGAAAACTATACAGTTAATACCCTACGACACTAAGGAAGAAGCCAGAAACGCTGTGACGAGGGGATGGACATGGGGCGCTATAATGTTTCCGCACAATTATTCTGAAGCTCTCACGGCGAGGATACAAGATGGCAGATATGCCACTGATTGGGACATTGCTTTCGGAGAGATGAAAGTCGTTATGGATATGTCCAGTAAGTCTTTGAACGGATTGGAACAGAGCGAAATAATTGTTAATGCTTTTACATATGAAGCGCCGCATTTTACAAGTCTTGTTGAACGCTATTGTAATAAATAAACCAGGGTATGGAAGTAACGCGTTACTTGTAACGCTGTTACCGCTACAAGATCTTTTTTTTGGTAACGGATTGGTAACGTAGCTGCTTTCTTTAGTTACTGTAACGAATTTAACTGTTAATTTTATCGTTACTTTTTATATTTCGAACCTAGTTATAAAATGTTTTCTCACATTTGATCTTCAGGCATCGATCGATATTCATAATCTATTATTATCATGTGGGTTGTTATATTTAAAATAAATTTAAAATTACTGCGTTAAAAATTTGAACGAAAAATTAAGAGTACAATAAAAAACCTTAGCTATATCTATACTTTGCATAGAAATCAAAATGTTTCATTTACATTTTGAGCGTTTAAAAATTTATTTCCTTAAATTTTTCATGGCTTTAAAACTTTAAAATAAAAATTGTTTTATTAATATCTTCGTTAGTGAAAAATTATAATATTACAGAAGTAGATGTTTTAGTTTGTCTGATGTCGTTTACAGAATTAGAAAAGTAACGAAAAAAAGTAACGGTAACTAGTTACTTTTAAAAAGTAATGTTCTATCCTTGCATCTCTTACATCCTCCAATATAATCAGGGATTACGTAATTTTTATTTGAAAATCCTAACGCAAATCCGTATTCTAAGCGTGTAAACATATGTTTGCAGATCAGCATATAGGACAGATGCTACAAAGGGACCTGATTTACTCATTTCAAGATTTTGCGAAAGAAGTCACTGTGGCTTGCAACTATAGCGCAAAGCTAACTAGCATACCCGTAAACGTAAGTAAATAGCTATGTTAATATAACAGAAATGAATTTTACCAAACTTTTGTTGCTGTGACATTCAAATACGATTGTCTGTGTTATAATGCAATCGTAAATTATTATTTACCACAATTTATTTCTATTGCTGATTGTTACGTCAGATACAAATGCCGATCTACGGACCTATGAATCCTAACTTCACGGATTTTGCAGCTCCCGGAGTAATTCTAACGTAAGTATTTTATATTTAATGATAACAATATAGTAACGTATGTGCGATAAAATTAATGGCCCTTTTCACAAAGAATTTATCAGCGATTAGAGAATCTAAACAAATTTGTGTTCTTTTTTTTTGCAGAATCATTTTCTTCCTCTCAATCGCATTGACAACGGGCTCTATGCTGCTGGAGAGAAACGAGGGTCTGCTGGAAAGAAGCCTCGTGTCAGGTCCGTATAAAAAAAAGGAACAAATATTAAGAGCTGCAACAAAATTAAAAAATTCTAATCTCGGACAAACAAATCTTGGAGTTGATAAACAATTCACTGTAATCTCTTTCTCTCCAGGTGTCACCGTCATTGAGATTCTTATCGGCCAAGTGATTACGCAATTCATGATTGTGGTCGGGCAAAGTGTGATGGTCATCATAGTCTCATTTGTGATCTTCGGGATCACCTGTGAGGGCGATATAGGTTGGATCACTTTACTGACCGTCCTCACGGGTCTCTGCGGCATGTGTTTCGGTAATGCACTCATTATCTTATTACTGAATCGTTGCACGAGGTGTTAAAAGATTCCGAGAGTTTTATAAACGTTTCTTATGTAAAGTCTTCTGATAACTGAATAACACATTTAAGCGATGATTTCTTTTGCAAAAGCACGTTTTTATTTCTATGTTCGCGATTGTTCAAATTAGAGCAATTTTGCGAAAACGTGAGAAGAAGAAACTGAAATTTCGCATAAGAAATTACGAAAATAAGTTTCTTCGTCGCGAGGAAAACTTTACATACTTTTCTTTTACGTATACATACACTTTGTTTCTGTAGGAATTGCTCAGATACACGACTTTAACTTTCAGGATTTGTAATCGCCACTATCTGTGACAATGAAAGAAGCGCCACATACGTGGCAATGGGCTCTTTTCTTCCAATTGTGATGTTGTGCGGCATTATCTGGCCCCTAGAGGGCATGTATACCGTGTTGAGGTATTTTAGTTACTTACTTCCCCTAACGAAGAGTACGGAGTCGATGAGATCAATGTTGGCCAAGGGTTGGACGATAACGGAACCAGTGGTTTATCATGGCTTTATCGCCACTTTCATCTGGATCGCCATTTTTTTGAGCCTAGCGATATTGCTAATTAAATTTAAGAAGGGTTAATTTAAAGGTAGGAAAAATATTTTTTTAATATAAAAAGGAATTCACCAAATGTCTCTATAAACTGTAAGAGAATAAAATTATATGTGTAGGTAAACAAATTCTAATTGTATTATACGTATTTATATGTATATCACGGACAATTGGATTTATAGAAACATAAACTTAGGTTTAATTTTATTTAAATAAAAATCTTTTCAATGTTTGTATTGTTGTTATAACTTAATTTTGTGTATAAGAGAATTAGAATATAAAAAGCTTTCATAATCCTGCATAACTTAAATTATTTAAATTTTGTGATTGTGGGTGTGTATTCGCGAGGTATAGGAAAGTTTTGTTAGTATTTAATTTCAGATTATATTAATTCTTTACTTAAAAATGAGTAAATCAGATAAAGTCTGAATCGATTAATTTTTTAAAAACTCTAATTTATACATGTATTTGTATAAAAAGTATTATATTGCTATACAATTCATGTGATACTAAAACAAATGTACAATTTAATATTAAAAACACGAAGACGTCTCTAAATGGCACGTCGTGCTTGCTGATGAAAGAGGCAGAAGACTTGCAGCCAATTGTACAACGTAAACGCTGCTTGCAATATTTCGTTGCGTTTAACGTGCAAACCGTCCAGGAAGAATCTCACGAAGAAGACAATCATCTCCACGATGATAACGCAGAGTTGCATGAGCAACCATGGCGTGTGCAACATGGGGTATTCCTGTTAAATCCAAGATATACATGGTAATACCTGCCTCACCTCTTATTTACGGATAGAGTAGACGACTAGACTTTGTGAGTCGAATAGTCCTCTACCATTTTGCAATCTTTGCAATAGTGATCGGGTTATTAACTATTTAAAACCGCTATCTTAGCCGGGCTTACCACCCAAAAACCGCGCTGCGAGATGCGGCCGTCCCGCAATCAGCGTTGCTAGGCGCACGGGGAGTTATTTATTATACGTAGCCCTTATTATTTAAAAAAACTAGAATTTATTTAAAAATATCGTGAAATATCAAAACTTGCGGTACTAAAATAGGGATTATGGACACACGGCCTTGTCCCTAAATAAGAGGTGAGGCGGGTATTACATGACACCCTATACACAGGGTGACTCTGAAAGACCTCCCATTAATTATGTAGCGTTGTTTCTTATTAGAAACTAGCAATGAGTCGAAAAGTCCTGAACCATTTTTCTCTACAATGCTTAATAAAATAAATTGTTAAGTAAAGTCGAACGAATTAGCGTCGATCTTTAGCCGGGAGCCCGTCAATAAACTACTTCTTCACTCGGTTTTTAATAAGAAACAACAATATGTAATTAGTGGGCGGTCTTTCGGAGTCATCCTGTATATTTATTCAGAAGTAATAATTACGTTTTTAATAAAATTGTGAATTTTAATACCGTAATTTTTGATATTTCACGATATTTTTCAATAAATTATACTTTTTTAAAATAATCCTTTACGTACCTTAATGGCGCCTAACATAATCAAAGTATAATGCTCGATTCCCAAGATTGACGTCATCAACTTCACATCCCTCTCGACAGTAAAAGGCACTGCAATTTATTATCTAATGATTTATAATAATTTCTTGGTTTGTTGACATTGCCGCAGATGTGCAATTGATATCATTTTCAGCTACTTTCGAATACTGTTTCATGACGCAGCAATTGTTACCTTCTCGATTGTTCCTATGGCGTGACGATGTCCTGGGAATCTTGTAATTTATTGTGCGTATTATGTCAAAAGCCGTGACTACCTGACAAAATTTTGCATTAATAGTGCGTGGTGCTTAAATGTTTGCTTCTTTCTTATTTGGCGTATTGAAATCATTAAATTAGCAGGATGGGAATATTACGATGGACTAACGGTCCCAATGAGGCCCAAAATGATCACGTATAATGAGCTACCCATTATGTAATGATTGCACAAGGAACAAACCATTCGTTCGATTCTCTGCAACGAAACTGGTATTATTACAACGGATAACTGTTTCAAAAATCTGCGAGAAATATTTAATTACAAAGTGTCCACCACGAGTTCTAAAGTTTCGTCGGCTGTAAAAGGCCATAATTCACTTTGTATCCTAATCCCTGGTCGGGAAAAATTCCTTTATCAAATCAAAATGCAAGTGCAGAAATGCAATAACGTTAAATAGTTCAATAAATAAATGTTTTCAACGAATTATGCTTGCATGTCTACTCTTCACCAATTTTCGAGGTTTGTTTTCACGTCTGACAGTGCTTTCGATAAATCGCAATTCAATAACATCGATTTATTAATGTACAAATGACTTTAACTTTATCAAACACATATATTCGATTTATGTAAGTGTAAACATATGCTTGATTTATGTGACTTTTCTAAATTATGTTAACGTTGTTGTTTTACACGTGACATTATATACAAAGAGATAAATCGCGTAAATCGATTATAACATCTGCATAAAGTCATAAATCGAAGTCAATAACATGAAGTTTTGCTACTATTGCGACATAATACAATTCTGTTTTTTCTTTTTATCATCATTACATTTATCAATCAGTTTTCTTTTTTAGCCTATATTCTTTTCTGTTTCTACAATCTTTATTTCACTGTATCGTTTTGCAAATCTACCAGTTTGTTTTTACTTTTGCTACACATTACATATTTATATTATTTATTACTTACAAAATAACACGCAACAACACATAATATATAATGTATGTACATTTTGAAATACACTAATACGTTTCTCTAATAACAAAATATACTGTGGTTTATTAATCACCATGGATGATCGACCAAGTCGCGCTCAAAGCTGTTACGAAGGTTATCCGGAAAGGATGAAAGTTTACAAAGAACGCCGAGCAAAAACGGTACTTTATACCATTGACATATTAAATTTCATGTAACATGATGCCCATTTTTCAGCTGCATCGCGTATATTTTACACTTGAGATAAGAATTAAAAGCATTATAGACAAAATATACGAAACATTCATTTTTATACATAAAAATGTACCCACATAAGCCCTTCGTATTTCTTAAGAATAGAAATCCGATACGCCTCCGTATATTCAATTTTTCGAAAGACTGGTTCTCTTCAACTTTCGCACGACCGATTCCACTTTTTTTTGCAGTTGTTTGAAGCTAAAATATCACCTCTCCTATGTAAGAATCATTCCGATAATTTCCAAGTAATTAGGAAGATTGAGAAATCGTTGGAAAAGAAAACGTTCATTGAGAATGAAGGTTTCAAGATATTCCGAGCAATGTCGTTGGCATTATCGATATTGACGTTGTGCTATTATGGATTAACGGAGTACCACGTTTTGCAAAATGGATATCTCCATCGCAGTTTCCCCCCTAGAAAAATCCCCTCCATCGTGACATTTAGTTTCGGCTATTCCGTCTCGTACTCAATAATATCAGCTGTTACGGTTGGAATGCTCGTTTATTCCATTATCATGGTAAATAGGACTATTACTGTGTTATTACAAATAATATGTTACCTTCCTTATGCTTCAATTTTGTATTTACTTCGTGTGTTTCGATTGTTATGCATTTCAGAAGCGGCCGCAATTTAGTTTACCTTTTATAGGCTTCTTTCTGAATGAGCTGATGTGTGATGTCTGTGACGTCATCATAACGAGTTGGTATCTCTTCGAATATCTTCAGATACATACAGCGTTGCTTTACACCGCGGGGCTCCTCCTATTGATCTGTAAATATCTTTATCCTTGTTTTATTTCTTTCTTTTGCGGTAAAACGTAACATGAAATTAATGCGGGCAAAAATGTGATATTTCTATTCACAATAAAATCAAACTATCTTCTCCGTACTAATCAAAACATACATAGAATTAATGTGGAATTATTTGATTTGATTATTACTTTACTTTTTTTTTAAATATTCTATTAAAAAACTTTGTATCGGATACGTGAGATTTATCTTATTTATCTATTATTTATTTCATAGTTTATTGGCACGTTTTATTTGCTTTTACGCAATAAATGTTTTTATTATATGTCAAGTTTTTTATATTCAGTGACAGAAACATGGACATGGCTGGGTGTGGTGTGGCTCTACGAACACCGAAACCTCGAAACACATTAGATAACGTGATAAATATCAGAGCATGGAAATCGATGAAAATTGTAAACGAATTTCTGATTATTCTTCGAATTTTATATTTCTATGCACATACACACACACACAAACACATTTTCCCCATAACTATTGTTACAAATTATAAATCCATGATATTTTTTAATTTAAAAGAAAAGTTTATTTCTAAAATACATTTTTTTCATTCCGTATTAGTGCCACTTTTTCTCGTAAAAATGCAATTATTGCAGGTTCTTTGACAAATTTTTCTTTTCTTATATTTATAGGTTTGGTCTGATTATATAGATTTTATGCGCCGGAGATTAGGTGGCGTGCATACCGCAGATAGTTTTATAAATAAATTTTTGGATTATAACGTAAGTTCCCAAGATTTTCCGGACGTGTACACAGTAGGGCAGTCAAAAACGTTGACCGAACACTGCGACTTTAAATCAAGTACTCGTACTTCGGGACATTTATCAATCCTAAAAGAAACAAGTGTTCAAAATGGAGTTTAAAATGGATGTGACAATATTTTGTGCATTTGTGTATTTCGTACGTATATGTACCTAGGACAAAATTTATCCAATGCGTCCTTCAAACTATAAATTTCCGTTGCATTCTTGGATATTTCCCGCAGTAACAATCCTAGAAACGCCTGACAATGCACGTCTGTCGCTTGCAAGTCGATCGTTGGGTCGATCGTAATCAATTCGTCGGGCGTGCAATCGCGTTTTCCCACTTTACTGTAGAAATAAAATAGAGGCACTGAAAATCGTATCAATTTATCGTCTAATTCGTTCATCCGTTCACTTACTTCCACCGAGATTTATTGATGATTGACAAATTACAATATGCACTAGGGTGCATTGCGACTCCGGGGAAGTTCCAAAGCAGATATGCTCTTGCTGCCATTAGCAACGATTCGTTACTTAAATTTCTTGCAACACTCGATAATTCCGTTCTAACAGACAAAATTAACGTAAAGAATTATTTAACGCCAATAATTGATTAACAAATAGTAGAAAATTGCTTGACGACGCTTGGCTGGCAAATTCTAATTAAAGAAATTAATGCTATTAGAATGTAATTTAGTACAAAAATTGAAATAAATAAAAATAGACTCAATTTTAAATGGGCCAAAGAATTCGTGAAGCGACAATGTGGAAGATCTTAACTTATATGTATAAGTGCAGTGCTTCCAGAATCATTAAATGTAATAAGGATTAAAGTAGAAAACTGCATTGAAAGGTTCGTGTATTATTCCGTGTATTATTCACATTATTGTGCAATAATCTTATTACTTGCTAAAGAATTCGTCGATCGGTAAGTCAGCAATGTGGATATTGGCGTTTTGGGTTGCCAGTGCCATTTTAAGATAAACTTCCGATGTATTCGGCATACTAGAGGCACGCATCAAATTGATTAAGTGTATCTGCCAAACATTAACAGTGATTATTCTTAACTACTATTGCATTTTTTAATGAAAAAAGATAAGATAATAAAGTCTAAGTATGCTTTGTCCAAAAGGTAAGATTTATATAATATGACAACTTTTAAATACTTTTTATCTTATGTTATATGTATAAGTGCAGTGCTTCCAGAATCATGAAATATAATATGGATTGAAGTAGAAATGCATTAAAAGGTTCGTGTATTATTCCGTGTATTATTCACTTGTTTTTATTCACCATGTTTTATTAAAATTGCCTTGTAAATAAAAGATAAATAGAATTAAAGAATTTTGACATACGTTTACGTTTGGTTGTTCTCTTGCAGCAGCTTCAATATAGCAAAATTCTTTCCCGGACCAGAGCTGTGCAGCTTCCTTCACGAAATAGACATTAAAGGAACATTTATCCTCGGAAATTTTCAATCCACTAGATTAAAGATATAAATAAACGAATTGTAATAATTTATATACAATCCTATTTAAAAAAATCAAATTATTTTATTGTTAAATGGATATAAATCTTAACATTGATTAAAAAGCATTGAAAAGCATCTCAATATAAATTAAAAGACAGTTAATTAATTAACCCTAAGAGCATTAGAAGTGAATTGTAAAGATAATTACTTTTTTATTCATTTTCCTTATATTTCATATTTTATTAAAATCTAAATTAAATTAAAATTAATATTATAAATTGAAATAAATTGAAATTAAAATTCTATTTGTTTATTTAATATTACTAATCTTTGTTAGTTCTCTAAGAATAAATTTTTGGAATTATTAGTGATTATATACCAGCAGTTAACATCGCTTGCTATTGGTGAGCAAAATATCACTGTGACAAAGACAAAAAGCACAAAACTGCTAGTGACTAGACACGCTGCCATGAACGAGCTGAAAAGATCATTCGGCCACCTTCTTAATTGATTTGCGACGCCTTTAAGCATCAAGTTATGTCGAACAGTTCGAATCTGATCTTCGACGTATACATACGGAAGATCATCGATTCCTTCGTTTTTGTCTTCATCCAAGAAAGGAAGTCTGTCCTCATTAAAATCTGAGAATTTCCAAATTTTTTCTCATCATCGTTTTATATATAATCTTTTACATTGCGAACATTACTTTTATTGTAAACATGATTTTACTATTATATAAATTTGTTTTTTTATCATAAAGCTTTACAATTGAATTATGCAGAGACTGGAGAAAACTTCTACAAAGAATTCGTCTTTTCAACGTGATACACAAAGACTGATTATAAGAACATTTTATAAAATTTTAACTTTCGAAATGTAATATTTCGTTAAGATCATATATTGGGTCGTTTTATGAATAATGCGGTATAAAAAAAAGAGCTTGATTTATTCTTTAGCTTAAAACCGAAAGACTCTCATCGTTAAGGAATTGAAAATTTAAGAATAAGATGGCAAGATGTTGTAAATAATAAAGAAAAATATATTTTGAATTAAACTTAAGAAATGTCAAATGTATTTGTTTCATTTTAAAAATATCTTTAGAAAACCGTATTACACAGGATGATCTTAGAACATATATAAAGGGATAAAGGGACTCAATACATTTGGATACTTGCGTTCGGTTTTCCGCATTCCACTAGTTTTATCGCACTGCACTTTTGATTCTCGATCAATGACGCTTCAAGTCCCGTCATTTATCGAGTGAACACGTCGTAGTAAAGCCAAGTGGATTTAAATGGAGTTGCAGCGACGTTGAGAAATTGGTGAGGTGTCAATATTGTGCAATTCAAACGTGTCAGACTTTCGTAAGTTAAACGCGAATTTAGCTCGATAAACGTTACATACTTCAAGCCTCAATCACATTTAACATCGTTGTTTTTTTTTAAACGTATCTGTTCAGAAAACATTGTGTCATATACTATACAATTACGTCAGACCTAATTAGATTAGACTATAAGGGGTTTAACACATGTTCATATGTAATTTTATGTCATAATGAAAAATTGTACATATTTTTATTGTATATCAAGTTTTTAGTTTTACTATGTAACTTCATCTCTCTTTCTAGATTTTTTTATATATTTCACAAGAATTTGTGAATGAAATTAATTAAGTTATAAAAATGTAAAAACGTAATTTAACGCAAACAAAAGGGGACCGCCGATAAGAATTCGGCGGGGGTGGTGGAGGGCCTCTACAAGTTGGTCTGTGTTTATCGGATAAAAATTTAATTCAAATCTAAAAGAGAGACATCATTTCATTTACAACCAGAAAATGCAAAGTTATAATAAAATGTAGAAAACCAAGCTTATCGAGAACGATCTACTACAAATGTTAAAAAGTAGTACGACGTAGCTTGTCAGCAAGTTTTTATATTTTGCAATTATACATACATATAATTTTAATTTATATGTCAGCAACGAAAAAATGTGAATTCCTAGTAGTTGATTAACGATAAAAAGAATTGTTAGACGACTTCCCAGTGAGAAATGATTCGTCAATCGACGTCGAAACGACATCGAATCGACATCGACGCCGTCGAATTGACATCGATTCGACGTCGTTTCGACGTCGATCGACGAATCATTTCTCACTGGGTTTAGGCTGGTAGATGGTTTCTTTATTTAAATCCGACATTTCGACCATACGGGTTGTGGTCCTTCTCAAGGAATTCAACAATCTACAAGTTTAATTACAGGACATTGCAAGTTAAAAGTATGTTGGCCACAAAACGAAATCAACGCAAGTCAATACAAACAGAGTAAAATTCTTTTCGAAAATTTTACTATATTACGTCATGATATTAAACTAAGAAACACAGAAGTTTGACATCCACTTTTAGTTTAATATCAATGATTACTCCTGTTACGAAAAAGTAATAACCTTCTCGTGTTACCGACATGTCATGCATGCAGCACAGAACACAACCAAAGGTTGGGCACTGTATTACCCGCTTAAAAAATATGGGCGTATCGGCAGTGCTTGAGCAATGGGTGTAGCGGAGTAGTTCTAAAAATGAAAATATGTAAGGCGCTGGAAACAGCTGAGCGAAAACGGTATCAAGTGAAACGCCGGTGAACGCCGGCGTGGCCGCTCTCAGGTTTCTCTCTGGTAAAACTATAAAAGTGGATTAAAATTGTCAATTCAAAATTCAGTGGGGAAAATCATAAACGTGGCGAACCAATCAGAATCTGGATACACCGCATGTCCAGCCTCTGATTAGAGGGTCTGTAATGTAGACGAGCCTTAACATCGTGGACATCAAAGTGCCTTGGAGGTTAGATCGTTTCGGTTTCTAGAATCTTGGGGCACACCGCCGGTTTCGTCAAGTCAGCGCGAGCCTAAGAGCGGACGCAATGTCGGCCGCGAAGCCCGAGAATTGGAGAGAGTTCAACCGTAAGCGGAAGGAACAACGAAAACAGTGGAAGGAGTCGCAGCTATCGAAGAAGGCGAGGAAGGAGGAGCTCGAGAGGGAATCGAGTAAAGAGGCGCGGGAGTGCGCGGAAGGTGACGGCAAGTGCGAGCAGAGGGACGTCTGCACCGTCAGCATCGCGGTGCCCGGATCGATCCTCGACAACGCGCAGTCCCCGGAGCTGCGCGCCTACCTGGCGGGGCAGATCGCGCGGGCCGCGTGCATCTACCGGGTGGACGAGATCGTGGTGTTCGACGACAAGGGCGAGGTGACGGAGGACGAGAGGCGGAAGCTCAGGAAGGACGGCACGCTGGGCGAGGCCAGGGCCGGGTGTCTGCAGCTGGCCAGGATACTGCAATACCTCGAGTGCCCGCAGTACCTGAGGAAGCACTTCTTCCCGATCCACAAGGACCTGCAGTACGCGGGTGTGTTGAACCCGTTGGACGCGCCGCATCATCTGAGGCAGCAGGACGAGTTCCTGTACCGGGAGGGTATAGTCACCAACAAGCCCCTAAAGGCTGGCAAAGGGTCTCAAGTGAACGTAGGATTGTTGAACGAGGTTCATGTAGACAAAGTACTGATGCCTGGTTTAAGGGTAACAGTGAAGATCCCAGCGGAACAACCAAACCGGAAGAAGCTGAAGGGTATTGTTGTACCGCCTAACGTGCCGCGCGCGGAGACCGACGTCTATTGGGGCTACACTGTCAAGCTGGCCAAGAATCTGACGGAGGTGCTGACAAATTGTCAGTACAAGGGAGGGTACGACCTGACGATCGGAACGTCCGATAAGGGAACGTCGATCGACGAGATAGAGACGGAGAGCCTGGAGTATCGCCACTGTCTCGTAGTGTTCGGAGGCCTCGCCGGACTGGAAGCCGCCGTGGACGTGGATCCGCACTTGGACGTCAACGATCCGTCGCTGGTGTTTCATAAATACGTAAATACATGCCCGTGCCAGGGCTCGCGAACAATCAGGACGGAGGAGGCTGTCCTCCTGACTCTAGCCGAGTTAAGAACTAAATTAGTGGCTAAGGGAAGTACAAAGCAATCCTAAGAAACAAGATAATGCTGCGAACAGATAGCCCTCACGTTGTATTACTGTATCAGAAATACAGTACTCTGTACATATATTTTCACATGTGTATATAAAATGTTTTTCCGCAGGAATGCTTCGCGTATTTGGTATCCCCAGTCGTCGTCTCTCTCTACTATGTCGAATGGCCCAGATAACAGTTTACCGTGTCCCTAAAAATCTTGATCACTTTAGCTTGATCGGCCGCGCCAATGACAGCCGTGCCAGATACGATCATATTAGCGCCTGCCTGAAGAGCAACAAAAGTGGCGATTCAATTTCTGCGTCTGCCTTTCGGCACGTTCGCACGTTGCAGCAGTCACCGACAAGTCGTACCTTTGCGCATGCCTCAATCGTAGTCAGTCCGACGCCACCGTCGACCTCGATGTCCAGCCCAGGATAAATCTCCCTCAGCCACGCCACTTTGTCCAACATCGGCTCCATGAACCTCTGCCCGCCGAAACCGGGCTCGACGGTCATCACCAAAATCATGTCCGCTAGGTCCGCGTAGTGCCTCACCATCTTGACGGATGTCTCAGGCTTGAACGCTAAGCCAACCTGTTTTTTTTAATTTATACCATTAGTTATAAGTGTTAAAAGCAAGCGTTAACTTTTTCAGAAAGCGCCCACCTTCATTCCCGCCTCCTTTACTTTCCTGCAGACCAGAGGAATGTCCTCCACCGGTTCCACGTGGAACGTGTACTGGTCCACACCGGCGTCGGCCATAGGCTCGATCCACTGTAATTATTCGTTCTCTTTTTATTCCGATTGAATTGTCAATTGGCGGGTCTGCTCTGTAAAATGCTCTGTAATCGCTGTATCTCTCGTACCCGTAAATTACTTCTTATCCTTTTCTAATTTTTAAAATTACAAAAAGAAGTAAGTTGAACCGAGATTAATGTCAATCTGCATTGACACAAGCCAGGATTGGGAAGTAACTCGTTACGGTTACTGTTTTGTGGTAACTCTAACTTAACTTCGTTACTTTTTCTCCATCTGTAACTGTAACTTAACTCGGTTACATTTTTGCGATAACTAGTAAATAATTTAATAGTTGCTTTATATATTTTTTACACCTCCACAAACAAATCGCATTAGGATTGCATTTGCGCGTAAACGCCTCTATCGACACTTCACGATTCAAATGCAGCTTTGATAGTTTAATTTTCATTGCAAGAAAGTAACTGCAAAGTAACGATTCGTTACTTTTTGAGTAACTGTAACGCGTTAATTTTCAGAATTGATAACTTGTAACTGTAATCAGTTACATTTTTAGCGAAACTTGTAACTGTAACTTAACTCAGTTACATTTCTTCGATAACTATAGTAACTAATTTAATAGTTGCTTTATATATTTTTTAAACCTCCACAAACAAATCACATTAGGATTTGTATTTGCGCGTAAACGCCTTTATCGACACTTTACGATTCAAATGCAGCTTTGATAGTTTAATTTTCATTGCAAGAAAGTAACTGCAAAGTAACGATTCGTTACTTTTCAGAATTAGATAACTTGTAACTGTAACTACATTTTTAGCGAAAGAACTGTATCTGTAACTAGATACTTTAATTAACTTTTCAACCCCGATAAAAGCTACGTAGCGCTGTAGAGTAAGGGCCACTACTTCCAATGTCTGTTAACTGTTGAAATCGACTATTCTGAACAGTTAACGGTCAGTTGGACTTAACAGCCATTGGAAATGGTGACTCCAAGAGAGAAAGAGCGATGAGCGAAAAGAAAAAAGAAGTTAAAGAGTTGCAGAGCTTGCAGAACACAAGTTGCAAAGCTGAGGCCCCGGTTTCACCGGCGCTGTTTAAGCCTAGCTTCATTCGTTCTTTGGCTCTTTCCAACTGTTGCTCTAGAAAGAGGCAAACGTGAATGAAACTTAAGGGTAAGCGACGTTTGGTGAAACAGGACCTTCGTCCCGTGACGGTGTAACCGGGCGTTACAGAGCGTACTTGCTAAGACTCGCCTCTCGCTTCCGAGAGGTAATTCGCGCTCGAGAACTCGCGTGTATACCTGCTCCGGATTGGACACCATCATGTGCGTCTCGAAGAAGGCGTCCTTTATCTTACTGCGTAGACACTTGACGAGCGGGTGGCCGAACGTGAGGTTGGGAACGAAGTGACCGTCCATCACGTCCAGGTGCAGGTAGTCCGCGCCGCTGTCCAGCAACTTCTGCGACTCTTGGTGAAGCTGCGACAGGTCGGCGTTGAGGATCGACGGGCCGATCTTCGCGCTCAGTCTCCTCGCCATGCCGTGTCTCGGAGCGCGTGTCAGCGAGCGAATCCGATGCCGTAGAGGGAACGCGCTTGAACACGTGCGTCGGTTCCGCCCGCGGAACAGATCGGAGTAAAAAGATGTTCAGCGCGTGTGTTACGCAAAACGAGAGACACGCGATAACCCTATGTTATTGATCGCGTCGTAATGTCGCGAGGGTCGTGGGTCGTAGACGACGTAGGCTGGTTCTGATTCAATGCTGATTGGTCGAATCTACGACTTGCGACGCTACGATACGATCAATACAGAACCGGCCTAACGCGACTGGCGGCTTCTCAGGTCAGGTTGGTCTCGATCTCTGCCCAGCACGTGGAGGACTCGTAGAAAAGGACCATGCGAGACGCGGGCGATCGTCTGGGAGGCGCGAGGCTTCGAGTATCGACGCGGATTCAAGCTTGTACGTACACATTTGACATTGTAGAGCGCTTTAAGGTCTAAATGGTTACCTCGCGACGTAAAGGAGCTGCGTTAGCGATAGGCTGGGATCGAAATGGAGCAGCTTCCTACCGAGACACGAAGGTCGTCGAAGATCGGCCTGTTCTTCGTCGCAGCCACAGGTTCGTTGACGTTGCTTCTGATTAATGAGGAGTCATCTCCGTCGACTTTTTAACAAGCCGGCTTTCCCTGTACCGCCAGGCGGGATCGCGACGGCGATCAGCGTCGTGTGCTTCTCATTTGTGAGCCCTGCGGTTCGCAAGGTATGCCTGCCGTACGTGCCGGCCACGTGTCAGCAGATGAAAAACGTTATTCGAGCGTTGGACGGCCGCTCCGGCTCGCTGATCGACCTCGGCAGCGGCGACGGACGTATCGTGAGTATTGATAATCGCGCGAGGGAAGACAAATCGCGGGATAAACTTTTCCACCCTTCCGACGGCAGCGAATGTGAAGATGTAACTTTTAAATAGGTCCTCGCGGCTGCGAAGCGCGGCTTTAAGGCCCGTGGCATCGAGTTAAATTCCTGGCTGGTGTGGTATTCGAGGCTTCAGGCGCTGATAAACGGCTTGCCGCGCGAGACCGCGGTGTTTCTCAAGCAGGATTTGTGGAAACATCATCTGGGAAGCTACGACAACGTTGTTGTATTTGGCGTAGATCAAATGGTACGATTAATAGTCGTCGCAACACTTCAGAGAAAGGGCAGGATGGCTGTCTTTTAAGACGCAAGACATTTATTGTACGTTACTTTAAGACAGAGGTTTAAAACGTAAAGCAATCTTGAGAGTGCAAGACAATCATTCTATTTAGGCCTTAAGGCTGGTATTACATTTCTCGTACAATACATATTTTAAGAACATTGATTGGCTGGAGAATAGAAGACTTCTAGATACTCGAGAACTTTATTATCCTGAAATCGATCAACATGGTTGAAAAATTAGTTGTACGACAAGTGCGTCGATTGATCGTAGGATAGAAAAACATTCAAGTATCTAAAAATTTGCTATACCGCAGTCAATCAACACGCTTGAAAAATTTGTCCTATGACAAATGTAACAGTAGCCAAGGGTTGGTATTACACTTGTCGTACGAAAACTTTTTCAAGCGTGTTGACTGACTGTAGAATAGAAAATTTCTAGAGACTCAAGAACTTTTCTCTACTGCAGCCAGTCACCAACTTCAACACGCTTAAAACAACTTTCGTACGACAAATGTAAATAGTGCCCGAAAAGAGAGTAAAATATATGTATATAAAGAAATAGTTGTCCTTTACAGATGGAAGATATCGAAAGCAAGTTCAATAGCGAATTGCAGAAGGATGCTCTTGTAATCGCATGTAGATTTCCTCTTCCTAACACGCGTCCTGTTACGACGATTGGACACGGAGTCGACACCGTTTGGGTTTACAAGATACCTCCGAGCTGAATTTGAGGTATACATTTAGATTGAATAAGTTACAGTAAGAAATATAAAAATAATTGTGTTGTTGTACATTTAATACTACGTGCGTTTACTGCAGTACATAAGGTATGTAACATTAACGATCTTTGTGCTCACAGATAAGAAAATAAATCTATCTGTCTTAGATTAATATATCGCGAGAAGTTAAATAAATTATATCATTTATTACGTATACAAAATAGCTTAATACATTACTTTCTATTATATTGCCTTAAATCTCAATATATTTTTCAAACTTATAAATTTCTGTTAACATAACAGACTACTCAATGCAATAAAGACTGCATTTTGCGTCTAACATGTCTTTACCCGCTGTTACTTAAATCTATCTTTTCCTCAAAGTATAATTTTCGAACACTATAGGATTCTCTTAAAGCGTATAGATATGTATACGCAATTGCACTCGTGAAAAATTAATGCTAAATGTCATATAAATGCAATTGCACAGTCCACAAGATCTTAATTATGTGATCAATGATCCGTGATGAAGAACTGAGCGATGAGATTTGAGATTCCGACAAGGGGTATTCCTAAATGGAATAATACCGAGCACGCGCTTAGCTTTCCTTCTTTCTTCAAGATGGACAGGTGCAATAAACTCGGGAACGTGAAAACGTAGATGAGCCCGCTTAAAGCGCCGGTGTACCTGACAATAGTTCCGATGTAAGGTACAAACGTCGCGAAAATGATACATATGGAAACCAGCATGAGATTAATGAAGAGCACTAAGCCTCTGTTAGACGATCCTTTGTGTATCCACGACAGCAACTGGATACGTAGCATGTAAGCGAGCAGAGGATAGACTGTCACCAGTTGGAACAGTAGCACTATGCGAGCGCCTAATGTGAGGCCGTCCCATTTTTGAAAATTATTCAATAGATTCTGCAACGAAACCGGATCCGCAGTTTAAAAATCACAGGACAACTCTCGTGTCACGTCATATCAAATGTTTCAGTTAAACGCCATCGTTTCTCTACGGAAGAATGTTGTGCGTACTCACGTCTTCTATGCACGACTTAGGCAGTGGGAAACACATGAAAAACGTTACTCCGACGATGATGTAAGTTAACGTGACGAGGATGTAGGCTATGGTCAAATCCCGCCCCTGAAAATAAAATCGTCTCCGTTTAATCTCCGCAGGCGGCGGTCTGTGTATGTCGCAAGAGAAAGAATCGGATGTAAAGTAACTAACGTTTTTTTCTTGATCGCGATTGTTTTGCATTATGTTGATCACGATGTTGTGGATGAAGAACGACATTGCCAGTATTCCGGTGAGCGCCGGAAACGTGGGCCGTATTGCCCAACTCATTGCCCATTCGACTTGGTCCATGTTGATGCCCCACGACGCTGACTTTATCACGACGAAAACAATCAGATACATGACTGACGCCGTTCCTGCGAGATATGTTAAAGACTTGTAACGCGAGGGATTTTTAATTAGAGTTGCATACACGATGAGATATTAAGGGTGCACTCGGATGGTACACATAAAGGTGTGTACTCACCGAGAGAGTTAAACTTGGTGAAGAATGTCGTGCTGTTAAAATTTAAAAGGGGAAATATCAGTATAGCCAAGAAGACAGGCACTGTGTTGCGTAGATCCCAGGCCGGCCCCAGCGCATCGAACGTTTTCTCGTAAGTCACAATGGTGTCATTGTCTCGGATCTCCCTCGGGCACAGAACTGCAGTCCAAGCGATAAGCAAATCAAATTAAACACGTTATTCTCGTGGAATAAGTTAAAAACTCGGTATACCTATATGTACCTTCTTTGTGCGAAACGTTCTCGGACGCCGGACGCGCTGGCCAGCCAGCTACGTTATCTGCAAAACGAACACCGATATTCCAAGATGATCGCGCCAGGGATCGCGTTTGGTGCGGGAATATTTACCGTAAATAAAATTGACGCTATTGTACAGGAAGTTGGCCATCAATATCCAGTAAGCTATAGTTGCACCCAGCAGTACGGCGATACTGAAGATCCTAGCGGTGTGTTCCGCCCATTTGCCGAGGTATATCCGACACAGGTCCAAGACCTCTACGTTTGCTCCGCCACCTGCGCGATTGATCGTAGAATTATTAATTACGTCGAACGTTAATAACTTGGCGAAACGGAAGAGTCTTTTACCGTGATACGCGTGTGCAACTATGAGACGGTAAGCGGTGTACAGGCACAGACCGCTCATCAGCAGGATGAGGATGATCCCCGGAAAGAACCCGGCCATCGCGATTCCCCATGGCATCGTCAGCAACGACGACCCCAGTATTGTGTTCCATATTGAAAATCTAAAATATAAAAATTACGTCAAACAAGTCTGTGACGTTCTCGCAGAAAGGAAACGCGATTTTACGGGATTCCGCATTCTCTGATAGACCTATTCTAATTTTTACTCGAGAATCAGAATTGTGTTCAACGATGGGGAATATTAATGTAATTAGGAATTTTCTTTTACAAAATGTGAAGGATTCGCCATCGATAATGCGCGAACGTTGCTCGTCTCGATGACTAATTCGACGTAAAAATATTAACGGAGCCTAATCTGTCTTCTGCACGATTGTGCATTTGAGTAACGTTACGTGAACGTATCTCCATTTCGAACCTACGTAACGAATATATCGCTCGTTATTTCGAATTGTCGAAATATCAGAGAAGGAAAGTGGCGATCGAGGTCGGCGGGGAATTTCTAATCGTTCATAGTAAAAATGCGAGTCGGCTCGGATATCCTCTGCGTACCGTTTATCAGCGATTTCCTCGTGAATAATGTGCACATTACGTTACGTTCGTGCATACGCAAACATTTCTCCGATAATCGACACTGTGCGCTCTCGGGCTCGTGAAGAAAAAAAAGAAAAGAAGTCACTCCTATCTGTCTTCACGGGAAGAGACTCGCTTGCGCATCAGAATGCGCATTATCGTCGTGCTTCTATCACCCGGTTATCTAATACGAATCCCATGGTCGTATCATAGATAGTCGCACGGGCGACATGTGGATCAAGGACGCAATCTTTATCCTGCTGCTGAACTTGATTCGCCATTGTAAAGGCCGCATACGCAAAATCATGCGTAATTATGCGTCTCCTCTCGCGCGACCACGAGATAAGCGCGTGCTTTCGGAGTATTTTCGGCCAAGACGCACTTTCGGACGCGGGCAAAAACATCAGCCGATATTTCACAAACGTGTCTCCCTCCTCGTTCTAATTTCTTCTGTTTACCCGTCCAGATCGAGCCGGATGGAGACCCAATTTCGTCGTTCGATCGAAAACCGACGTGCTCTCGCTCACTCGCACGGAAATACAGAATCAATTCTAGACACGTCGGAAGTAATTTACTTTTTGTTTATTGATTGATACTTGTCGCGTTTTTATATCTCTCAGTTTTGCCGCGTCGTCTTTAATCTACCGCTTTCGCCCGTTGCTTCTCGTCTTTTTAAAAAAATAGATCACGTCTATCGTGGAAAAGAGCGGAAAGGGTTGAAGAATAAAGGAAGGGGACAAAAGTGTTGTATAAATGAAAACTAGGTCACATCTATTCTGCGATTAATCGACGCATTTGTCGTACGACAAATTTTCAACCGTGTTGATTGATTTCAAGATAGTAAAGTTCTATCCTGCAGCCAATCAACGTTCTTAAAAAATCAACTAATAAGAATTCTTCAATGTCGCCAGCGATAACTAACAACGTCAGTGCTTTCTTGGCCATACCTGGCGTTTTCAATAATACAGAAAATTTATCGCGAAAAATATTACCTCAACCAGGGCTTGAACCTGGACCTCCCTACACTCTAGGCGGGTGTCACACCAGGGCTGTGTTCGGGGAGACGCTATTTAGCGCTATGAGCGTACTCTGTCCTTGTTCAACTTTTGCAAGTAATAAGGACAGAGCACGCTCGTAGCGCTAAATAGCAACTCCCTGAACGCAGCCCAAATCGACATTTTACAATGTGTATGAGATATTTGTATTTTCGGATGAAACCTTTCTTAAATATCTCTGAAAGCTTTCTGTGCTGTATGGGTTCCTGATAGACGGCAATCGTATCTGGACGTGAGACAAGTCATATTTTTCGCGCGCTTACCGAATTAATACGATTTAATTTGTCGATTAATACAAGTTAATCAAGGAAACCTGTCAAATTTGTCAAAAATATCAAAGCATAATTAAGAAATGTAATATAGATTCTGGTTTGTCTGTTTTTTATTAAGACATATGCTCATTATAATTATTATTCAAGTTTAATTGGAGCATTTTCAAAAGCTTGATCAATATAATTTTATTATTTCTTAATTGTATTATATACTGTATTATACAATTAAAATATAAAAAATTTAATCAATCAAGTTTTCGAGATGTCTATTAAAAATTTAGTAGTTAATATAAATAACGTAAAATTGACCGAAAGTTGACCTATAATTGCCATAAAGTCGATTTCTAATCGCCATAAAGTAGACTTCTAATCATCATAAAGTCAACTTCTAATTGCCATAAAGTCGACTTCTAAGTAATTTTTCGACTATTAGTTGACTATAAGTTAACATTCAGCTTGACTTTGGAGTCGACTTTAGACTTCTTCTGCCGACTAATAGTCGACTTGGTGCTGTTTGGGATGCGATAAAGGCGGAAAATTCAATTTAATTCGAGGCTTGAACTCGTCGCGCGATTCTAACAATAATCCCGGTTTTCGACGTTGTTTAACTTTGATTTTACAATTAGTTTAATTCATCCTTCGTCTTTCCGAGGGGACAGTTGGAAAGAGACAAAGGCCCGTATTCTGAATCCCCTTTTGTCGATAAAAGCGCCCCTAAAAGTGGCTCGTAGCCACTCGGCGGGCTTATTAGCTACTTCCAGAGGCGCTTTTATCGACGAAAGGGGATTCAGAATACGGGCCAAAGGGCGAATTAAACTAACAGTAGGATCAAAGTTACGTGACGCTGGTGAAAACCGGGGTTCCACTTTGGACGCGCTTCTAAGCGTCGCTCGTCCCCGTTTTAACATTTGCCGAGCACAAGAACGAGGCGATTTCACGAACGTCGCGACGCCAAATGGAACGAGCCCCGTCGCTGACAGACGCGGGAATCAGTTTTGCGCGCGAATCGACGTCGAAATCCAAGAATCCCCGAGTCCGTCGCGACGCCTGCGAGGCGCGCAGCTCCGGTGCGCGCGCCCGGCGGCGGCGGCGGCGCGGCGGGTTGCCGGCTAAGGGCATTCACCTTCTCGGGGCGGTCGTCTGTTGCCCGGGCAACAGACAGAGCGGTAACCCCTTCGGGCGTCCCGTCGCGCCGCGCTTCAGACGCTCCGCTCCGGACGTCGGCGCGGCGCGGCGCGGCGCGAGGTCTCGCGATCTGGCGCACCTTCGTTCCCGCGTCTCGGAAACGGAGCGGTCGTCGCGTCCGCGGCTCCGTATCGGCGAGGTAAAGAACCGGGCTCGAGGGAACGAATCGAGAGCGGAGCGACGACCGCGTCCTCGTTTCGCAGACGCGGGAACGGAAGGCGCGCGCGGCCCCGAGACAGAGAGAGAGAGAGAGAATCTCGCGTCTCGCTCCGCGAGTCACAGTCTCGCGTGTGACACCAACGCCAGGACGCCGCGGGATGCACGACGATCCCGGCGACGGGGAGACCCCGCGAGGTCGCCGCGGCTACGACGGTGAGTAAAACGCGTCTCTTCGTCCCGTCAAAGGCGCCCGGCCACGCGCCGTCACGTATTTAGGTTATATCAGTCACATGTAGACGGCGGCGCGCCGCGCGCGCGCGCGCGCGTGTGTGTGTGAGTATGCGCGCGCGCGTGCGAGAGAGCGGCCGCCCCGCTGCGCCTCTCGTCTCTCGGCTCGCGCGCGAGGATTCGATTAGAAGCGCGATTGACCCGCCGATTTCGCGAGCCGCGAGCGAGTGCCGCGGAGATCTGTTTACGCTAACTGATAATTGAGAGAAAACAGTTACGACATTGATTGTCCACCC